AAGGAAGTTGGTCATTGTGAGGGCTTTATGAAAATTCATTAATTCAATTTCAGGCTGAAAGGGATTATGTCGCAGAACTTTAATCCAAGGCCATGGGGATGGATGCACTCTCTTGCAGCTAGAACCAAGGTTGTTTCCTTCCTGCTTCCTGCTTAATCAATGGTGAGGGAAATCAAGAAAGAAATAATTGCTGATATCACAGTATGCCTGACTACTGTTCATTTTCCAGAATCATGACACCTTGTTATTTTTCCTTTTGAATGCAGCACTTCAGCCACAGACTCATCTATTTTCTGGCTTGTAGAATATGGCATTAGTGGATTATGCAGTGAGTGGTAATTGATTTACTGCCAGAAATAACTGACAAATATGTAGATCTCAAATTGTCTACTTTGCTGGAGTAGGCTAGGATTCATGACTGAGATCATCAATACAGGAATGCATTTAGTATTGACAACTTTCCCATCATTTTCTTGAATACCTTCTATTGGGTTTGAAATGGTTCCTTAAAAGTCATTAGTCTTAAATTACCGGTCTCTCTGACCCCAGGAATCCACACTGTGGCTGTATAAAATGTTACGTTTTTTTCTTTTCCACAGTGCTTGGGGGGGGGGCTTCGTAATGCAATAATGGAACGTATTACTAGTTTTGAATGTTTCTATACCATTCTGTAAGAACATCTGTGAGAAAATCTCCTGAAACCTTCTAGATTTCTCTATAGTATTTTCTGACAGAGGTGATTTCAAAAGTGAAAGGAGGAACGTACATATAAGAAAACATTGTTCTACACTCAATCTCAGAGCTGTTCTAACCAAGTTCTGCAGTATGATGTGAAATAACTACTGATGCAGTCCCTTTAGGTCTGAGAATTACTGGAATTTAAACATTGTGAAATTTGAAGCTTGAGGTAAAACCAACAGTTTTCACTGCTATTTAGTTAAAAATTAACCATTCCTGGTTTACACTGTATTTTTGATAATCAAGTTAATGATATATAGGATGAAAGAGGATGGACAAATATAATAAGAAAATAATTACCTGATGATCTTTTTGTTCTCAGTTTGTCTCTTCAGAAATTATCTCTTGGAACGGTTTGCTTGTTTTATCTTTCCTTGTTCTAACTGGAAAATTGGGTTGCTTGCAACAGCTGAGTTTGCCTTATCCAGCTTACCTGCTAAGTAGCAGGAAAAATCATGTGAAAAAAATAATTGCTTTTAGTTGGAGGTTATTAGGTTTAAGCTTTATTTCTGACCATTATACTACCCCTTCCACACCACTTGTGTACTTACACAGAAGTGTACTGTTACAAGAGGATTATGCGATAGAACAGCTGAAAGCATCTTGTTTTCAGGAAACAGTTTGCCTTACACAAATCATAGAATCATGGAATGGTTTGGGTTGGAAGGGACCTTTAACTAGTCCAGCCCCTCTGTCGTGGGCAGGGACGTGTTTCACTAGATCAGGTTGCTCAAAGCCCCATCCAGCCTGACCTTGAACACTTCCAGGGATGGAGCATCCACAACTTCTCTGGGAAGTTCCTGTTCCGGTGTTTCTGGCTTTCTGGGCTGCAAGCACACGTTGCTGGCTCACGTCCAATTTTTCATCCACCAGTACCCCCAAGTCCTTCTCGGCAGGGCTGCTCTCAATCCCTTCATCCCCCAGCCTGTATTGATACTGGGGGTTGCCCCGACCCAGGTGCAGGACCTTGCACTTGGCCTTGTTGAACTTTGTGAGCTTCACACAGGCCCAATCCTCAAGCCTGTCAAGGTCCCTCTGGATGGCATCCCTTCCCTCAAGTGTATCAACCGCACCACTCAGCTTGGTGTCATCTGCAAACTTGCAGAGGGTGCACTCCATCCTACTGTCTCACTCAATCCCATCACATTGATAAAGGTGTTAAATAGTATTGGTCCCAGTATGGACCCTTGAGGGACACCACTCGTTACTGGTTTCCACTTGGACACTGAGCTATTGACTAACACTTTGGACACAGCTGTCTAGCCAGTTCCTTATCCATCTAATAGTCCATTCGTCAAATGTAAGAGTGAATCGTCAATATTTACTTTTCTTTCAGACAGCTCTCTGCTAATGCAATATATAGTAGTAAAATAATTATCGCTAACAACCAGAATTATGTACAGTAAATGAGCTACATTTTCTAGAGAGAAGGAGAACTTTCTGGACATGTTTTGGACCAAAGAAAGCATTTGAACTTTAAAAGATAAATGCTTTAAATTATTGTTACCAAATTTCTTGTCTTTGTTGCACATAGGTATGTCTCAGGCTTTGCACTGGCAATAGCATCTGTAAAATGAAATATATAAGACATAGAGCTGAATTCTAAATGTTTTTTGCCTTTAATACATACCTTTCTTTCATCCATACCTAATACCTCCTTTCATCCTGACTACAGTATCTCCTTACCCCTGTTTCCCTTGTCCCCTTCTGGCTGTTCAGAGGTTTTGTGTGTTCCAAAAAAATAACTGACGTGATCTGTAAAATCCTAGCATGGATGTAGTAAAGTGCGCAGAAAAGGAAAAACAAACAAAAAAACAACCAACCAACCAACTAAACAAAAAACCCAGGAGAGCGTTGCAGGCCATATGCAGGCTCTGATGATGTGTAGTAATTTTGTCTTGTCTTTTCCTCTATTGACTGGTTACACAAGGGTAGGGGGAAAGTAATTTTGAAAGTACTCTTCACATAAAGACTGATTAGTTTTATCCTTAGGAAAATTCTGGTTACAGAGAGGGTCACTAGGTAATATATTTTGTACTGTTAAAGGTGAATATATGGGATTTTAAGCTACTCCCTCATTTAGCTGTCATTAACTGCCATGTCAGCCTGTCAAATCCTTTTCATAGCTCTTTATGTTTGTTCTTCTCACTAGTGAAGCTTTTTGCAAGTCTTTCACTGAGCAATCCAACAAACTATACTTTTCAAGTGCCCCTCCTTACCTCTAGCAAGAGTGGATCCCAGGTTTGTTGTTGCTAACTCCTCCTTTATTTTGTTTTCAACTTGCAGTCTGATCCCTTGTTCTACTTGGCAAACCATCCTATTTTTGGAACAAGTTCCTAGGAACTACTTGTCTGAACCCTTAATAGTGTTCTGAAAACAAACTTTAACTTTTTTAATAGTTGCAAAGGACAATAAAAATATGTATGGTTCCATATTAATAAATTGATTAAGGGGTGTTTGGAGTTTGTACTGTTTAATAGATTTTAGTCTTCACTTTTGACAGATTTAGATGCTTGTACGTTTTGAAAATCCACCTTTTTATGTCTTTTTCTTAGGAATGCAAAAGTTGCATGTAAATTACTTTTTTGAAACGGTGTTGCCACAGCATTTTCCTTCCTCCTTAGTTTCAGGAAAGTCACTAGATGGCGGTAAAACAGCAGCTTCTGTTGAGGGCTATATTTAGGAAGAGGTTTGCAATGAAAGAAAAGGATATTTAGGCATTTAACATAAGTCTGCAAGGTAGTAAAATAATCCTAAACAAAAGTACAATAAATAAGGTGTCCCAAATGCTTGTTACTTATTTTGATAGTAATGAATTTTCTTAGACCTCTGGTGTGCTTCTCCTGATCCTATCTTCTCTCTCACATTAATCAGACATGGCATACACGGAAAACATCTAATTCCAGGACTTCTGAAGCAGTTGCTTAGGGTTGTTCAACAAAAGCGTGCACAAATATTTGGTTTGGGTTTGAAAGCAGAAAATGAGCTAACTGATTTTTATCTTTTTAGGCTCAAATCTTTCATCAGATCCCTCTTTTAAAAAGAATATGTAGAGTCAAACCCCCTAAGACCATGGAAGTCACAGAGCTTTCATCTGAACTTTCCTTTTAATTACATATTTTTAAAACGAAGGTCTTTTTCAGTGTTTGCTAATCCTGACCCTCTGTTACGAAAGGATTTATACTTATTGCCATACAAAGTGTAATTTAGTTTATACTTTAAGAGTCAACGATATATAAAGCCCTGAAATGAACTCTGGAAAGGGAATGTAGCTGTTGTTATATCAGCATGTAGCAATAGAGGACAGGAAGAAAAGAAAACTGTAATAAAGTCAGAGCAGATAATTTGATAAGCAATATAAAACTACCTCTGCTCAGTTATGGCAGCAGGATGCAAAAACCTGCTGAAGATTTCACACAACAGTTTTCATAAATGAGTTCTGTTGGGAAGGTGCTGGGGTGTAAGATCTGTCCAAAAGACAGCAGAGCTGTAGTATAGGGCTAAAGAACTGGGAAAGCACGAAACCAGAGTACTATGTTCAAAGTCTTCAATATGTGCCTGCAGAACCAGTGTATCAAAAGTGTTAATCTGACTTTACCCTGAATCTATCACCAAAGGATTGTTTTGATTTTTATATGATGTATTAAAAAGGTTTTATTAAATGTGACTTAAAGCATTCCGTAGTGAAATTGGTAGAGAAGTAAATGTCAAACTAAAATTTTATCATTATCATTTCAAGATAATGAGTAAAAAATTAAGCAAATTAAATTATGAAGCCAGACCCTGAATCCCATCAAAAATACTGGGGCCTCTTGAAGGAGTGATATGGAAAAGTAAATGTTAACTTTGTGCTTTCTCTTCTTGATCATAGTACTGATCAAGACTACAGGTGAGGTTTTTTTCAGTGTAGCAACGCGACTGCTGCTATCCGGATGATAGGAGACTGAAATGGCTCCCAGAGAACTGAAACCTACCTAAGATCTGTCTGGTTTTGACATGGGTGGCCTCCATTGCTATTGCACAACTGCTGAAATTGTGTGGTGCGTGAACCCACGTTTGATTGTAGAGCTGAAGCATTTTCCTGATGGAAAAATGGGAAAAGGCTGATGGGAGCTGCCCGCTCTTCTGTATTGATGGTGTAAAATGGCCACAATCAATCAAAAGATCTTACCCCAGATACAGTTCAATAGCAGTCAGTTCTTTTTACACAGCATGTTGTAGCCTAATACTTTTTTTATTGCCCTTCCGTTGATTTCTCACAGAGTTTGCTGTGCCATCTCCTTTCTTCTTCTAAGTGGGAAAGTAATGAGGCTGAAACCAGTACATTCATATCAACGCTTGGCTACACATCAGCAGATTATTATTGTCACTTAGTTAAAAATGTAAGTATTTTGTGCAATTGATACTTTGTTAATAATAAATCATCAGTTTATAAGCACATACATGGAGCTGTCATTGTTATAAGGAACATGAACTGAACTTTGTTTATCTTTTCTTACCTCAGTTACTTTTATAGCCTTTTAAGGGAAAAAATGAAGTGGGAGATCTCTGGACAAATGAGAAATTTTTTTATTAGATTATACTGTAATAGATGTTCATAAAAACAAAATTCCTGTTGCTGTTGTATTATAATGAAAAATGTCTGCCCTATCATTAATTTTTTTCCCTGTGAAGTTTAAATTACATATATTTGTGTATTAGAACATAACTTTTGGAATGTTTTCTTTGACTGTATGCACTGCATTTAAAATGGTAGATGAGCCCTAAATCTCAGTAAAAGTGTTTTTTACATTTAATATATAAATAAGGGGAATAATATTTCATAATATGTTGACTTAAATTAGATAAAGCATACAAAAATTATTAGTAGTGCTTTTCTGAAAGTTTTGCCTCAACTATTGGGGAAGCAGAGCTAAAATAAATAGCTTCTTAGTTTTCAAATGTGGAAGGTATATAATGTGCATTCAAAAACCGTTTCGCAGCATAGTTTATTCAGTGACCTGGACAGCTTTAATTTGGCACCAATAATTAAAACATTAAAAAGCAAACTGAGTGAACAGAGAAAGTTATTAACCTCCACAGTACGTCAATCACACAGTGAACCATGCAGCTAATATCTGCTTATTTGCAGTATGTGTAATTTATATTTTATTTTATTTTATTTTATTTAACAGATGGTGTTTTCGTTAGTAACAGAACTCAGAGGAAATCAGTTCAATGGACTTAACATTCAGGGGAGGTAGGTTTTGGTATGTTAAACATAATTTTGCTATGTTTTGGTTTGGATCATTATAGTTCAGTGAGGACCTTTTCACAGTCTTGGGCAACTTAGCCTTCAGCTGGAAAGTTTTTGATATATATATATAGATAATTTCAGGTGTGGACAAGCTTGTTCAGTTGTGCTTCACATAAGAGTTTATACTTAACCTGAGAGTCATAGAATGGTTTGGGTTGGAAGGGACCTTCAAAGATCATCTAGTCCAACCCCCCTGCAATGAGCAAGAGACATCTTCAACTAGATCAGGTTGCTCAGAGCCCCGTCCAACCTGACCTGGAATGTTTCCAGGGATGGGGCAGCTACAGCCTCTCTGGGCAACCTGTTCTAGCGCTTCATCACCCTCATCACAAAAAATTTCTTCCTTATGTCCAGTCTAAATCTACCCTCTTTTAGTTTAAAACCATTGCCCCTTGTCCTGTCACAACAGGCCCTGCTAAAAAGTTTGTCCCCATCTTTCTTACAAGCCCCCTTTAAGTACTGATAGGCTGCAATAAGGTCTCCCCGAAGCCTTCTCTTCTCCAGACTGAACAACCCCAACTCTCTCAGCCTTTCTTCATAGGAGAGGTGTTCCAGCCCTCTGATCATTTTCGTGGCCCTCTTCTGGACGTGCTCCAACAGGTCTGTGTCCTTCTTATGCTGAGGGCTCCAGAGCTGGACGCAGTACTCCAGGTGGGGTCTCACCAGTGCAGAGTAGAGGGGCAGAATCTCCTTGCTCGACCTGCTGGCCATACTTTTTGTTATGCAGCCCAGGATACGATTGGCTTTCTGGGCTGTGAGCGCACATTGCAGGCTATGTCCAATTTTTCATCCACCAGTACCCCCAAGTCTTTCTCGGCAGGGCTGCTCTCAATCCCTTCATCCCCCAGTCTGTACTGATACTGGGGGTTGCCCCGACTCAGGTGCAGGACCTTGCACTTGGCCTTGTTGAACCTCATGAACTTCATAATTATAATGTTGGCTGCTATATGTGTCCTTATAACGAAAGTTAAATGGCAGTTACAATGAGAAAAAGCAAAAAAAATTTTTCCGAAGTAGTTTTTCTCCCCATTTGTGTGAGTGATAGTTTAATATGACAGAATAGTAGTTACTTTGCACTTGTTACTAATGATAAAATTTGTCCATGCTTACTTAAAGAACCTCTCATTTTCCTTCCATTAGTTCCTTGATATGATACCAAACAGTACTGTGGCAATACTGCGTGTTTCACATACAACTATTTTAAATATACCCAAGCACATAGTATTTCCACCCTTTAACTGCTTCTTTGGCCTGGTTTTCTAAGGATGAAAGTCTGAGAAAGTGGGTGGGAAGGAAATTGATGTGCTCTGGCCAGATCTCCAGTCCAGATTATCAGATGCTAATAATCACCTTGCAACATTGTGTGGGGTGTTTCTACATATCTAGGTGCAGTCAGTGAGAATAATCACGTTCTTCATCGACACTACATAAATACAGTGAATTAAGCCAAAATCTGTGACCATAAAAAAGGGAATACGTTTGCCTAATGCTACTGTTGTCACTATTTTTGACATGATCAAGTCTTCTCACTGTGTAACTTGTGCCTTTCCACTGACCTTGAAATGCATATCATAGTCTTTTGTCAATACTTAAAAATTATCGTCTTTGGATGCGTCAGTAGATCTTTTTGATTGGATCTAAATTAAGTGTATTCCAGCTAGAAAACCAAATCAAAAATAAGGATAGATATTTTAATATAGACTGTGTACTCAAATTGTGTCTTCTCTTTTAAATGTGTGACTGTTCTGTGCGTATTCTAATGGTTCTCAGAGTCAAAGCTGCTGATACAATGAAATCAGCTTTATGACCTATTTAACACCACATAGCCTATAAAGTTACAGGAAAGAGGAGGCTGGTTGAAATATCTTCCTTGTACCATGAGCCAATAGCTTGGCTATTTTTCTCCCTTCCTTCTTGCCCTTAGGTGTTTGTTAAGGAAGAGTAAATGACCTGAATTCATTTAGAGCTGACTTTAGTACCGAAATCATGGACACAGTTAATGAGGAGCATCACCAAGTTTTCTTCAACGTAGAAAACAAACACCCACATTGTATAAAGTAGGGTGAAACAGGCTTGGCTGAAAAGCTAATGAGACTGTTGGGAAGAGAAATATCTGATTTCTAGCAGGGGAAGAGGAAAACTTTGGACTTAGGTGGATTTTTGAGCGTAGAATTTATGATATGGCTGTTTATTCAAGTTGCAGGGACAAATGTAGTTTGCAGTTAGAGGTGTACGTTGTCTCATTTCTCCATTCAGTGATGTTTACAGCAACACAGATGACAATGTCTGTGCAAATTCATTGCACACAGTGGAATGCACCATGCAGTATTCTCCAAGAACATATTTTTAAGATTATGTAGAAAAAGAAGAAAATTGCCTTTGCAGGGTTTTTCTTCTGAAATTAAAAGTAAACTGCTAAAGTTTGCTAATCCTGGATAAAGAATTAGAAACAGAATTTTGTAAAGGGCACTGATTTAGAGTCTCAGGTCTGTGAACTTTACATGTATGTCCCAAAAAACACTACTGCACAATAAATATCAGCCCATTAATTACCATTGCTACAGAAACACTTCTTATAGTGAAACTGCATCTCGAAGTATTTCGGTGTAAGAAACCTTAAACACATATTTGGTTAGGTACTTGCTCAGAAATTTGAGTCTTTGAAAATGTGTCATGTTTTATTTCTCTCACTGTGGAAACTACAATGGTACCCCGTGCCACAAATCATAGCATTTCTGTCACAGCATATGCCAGTGACCATTAGGCAACACCTATTTGGGAGTAGCTTTAATATATGGAGGGCAATAGAGTTAGCTCTTACTCAGAGCAGCCTGTAGTGTAATTCCTGTCTCAGCTCTTCATAGACTGTATTGGTGGCTCCCCAAAGAAAACAGTTTTGGGTTCTTGCAAAGAATGCACCTGTTTTAGTGAACGATGCAATCAGGAGAAACATGCAGCAACTCAAGCCTTTTACAAACAATCTAAACTTTTTAATTTGCTAGAATTCAATATTTTGGAGTTCTTGGTCTTCATAAATGTCTTCCTGTCAAAACTGCATCTAGAAAAGTCTGCAGTTACATGTGCTGGAAACTATATGTAATCTGGGAAACTTGTGATTTCTTTTGCAGATGTTATCTCTTATATTGTGTGCCATTTTCCTTTTTGTTTATGTTCCAAAGGTTCCATGTTTTATTTATGTTCCAGGTTCCACTGTCTTTAATCATTTCCAAGCATGTAGTTTTAGTGAGCATGTCAAGTGAGTGGTTCGTATATTAAGATCCAAAAGTGTTACATATTCCTTCAACTGTAGATCTGTAAGACAAAAATCTTTCAACTGAGCACTTGAAGACAGCAAGATTCGTATTGTTTGGTTCATAGAAGTTGTCTCTGTTGAGAGGAGAAACACAGGAGGAAACACAGGAGGCCTTAAAAGCAGCTAGGTGGTCTCTTGTGAGGGTCTAGCAAACCTACATGGGAGCTGTGAATCTGTAGTCTTCCTTACCTGTGCTTCGCTGATCCTGGGAAGACAAAGCATTCCCTGCTAGGGAGGGTGTGGTTACTGAGCGAACACAATTGGCTGCACTTCAGAATTGGGTTGATATCCCTCACGTAGTTTGCCCTGACCACTAAAATATCAAAATTTTATGTGACTTCTCCTTAAGATTCTTCAGACAATATGTAACGACATGTCAACAGTCATTCCAATAAATAATTTTTCTGCAGTTAGGTATGCATCTCTTACATTTGACCTTCTGTAATTAATTTAACCTTCTTTTACCTTATCAGTTTAGAAATTAAAGTTTTGACTTTTCTGAAATATGAACTGTATTTATTTTTTCCCTCAGAGTTTCAGCCAGTCGTGTGAATGCTGTGTCCCTTTTCTGTCTCCCTCTCATTACTTTGCCTGATCTAACTCCATTGCTGGAAACTCTCCTTCTTTACCATGGAGGTGCATCAAAAGAAATTCTCAGTTCAGAGTTTCTGGAGGCTGTGAATGAGGCCTTTTTAAAGTGAGTAGCATGGTCTGTATGATTTTTATGCTCTTTTCATAAAGATTATTAATGCAATTAAATGTCTTTTCTCTGGGTTTGTATCGTGAACTCACTGTACATCTTCTGCATTCTAGTAAAATATTTCCCTTGCAGTTGAAAGGCAGAGGTCAGGTTGTAGGCCAAAGCGGAATTTTAAATTGCTGGCATAACAGCTTTAAATATTTACTGGAACTTTGTCCCACCTTTTCCTTAAAATAGAGGTTAAAGTCTTCAATAGATTTTAGGAATTTTGTGAAAGATATGATCACTTTTCATAGAAATGTTATTTACCTTTCATATAAGTGTATCAAAATGTCAGGTTAGTAATGTTGAGAGCCATCGTTATTTTCTGTGCACAAGATAGATCCTTATGTTTGAGTGGTTCTGTATTTCTCTCTTTTTTTTTTTTCCTTGTGAAATTGGTCCTCAAGATTTTAAATTCTCCTGTTTTTCAGCAGATTATTTTTAATGAGTCTGAAAGGAGCAATTTGTGAAATAACAATTTTGCTTGTTTTGCTGCCACTAAAACCACTGTTTGATAAAATCAGTCTATGGATGAAAACCAGCTGAGTGAAGCTGACCATCAGCAAGATTGACTATGCCAGGGGAGGAAAGACGTCGGGGAAAGCACAGCCTACTTTCGGTTGAGAGTTGCTTTATTCAAGTTGTAGCTGAGGGACTGTATTATAAACAATGTTTTTTTTAATACTAGAAAAGATCCTTTGTGAACACTTTACCTCAATTATCCATTTGTCTCCTTTTTAATCAAAGTTTTAATTGCTTCCTTGTACCCAACATCATAATTTCTGAGACGTTCCAACAAAGATTGTTATATTGCTCCATTGAGGCTCCACCAAAAATAAATGATTAATGGAAAAGCACAATTACTAACTTGTACACGTTACTAGAAGCTGAGGAAAACAAGTGAAAAAGGAATGTGAAGGTCTGTAGTAAAAGATGTGTCCCAAAAAAGAGAGAGATTATCTTTCACTTGTCCATCTTTCATGGCTTCGGACTGGATGTGTTCCACAAGCAGTAACGCAGCTGGAAAACTTTCAGAGCAAGTTCACAGGTTCAGCATGGATGGTCTATAGTGATGTCAGTGAGCCAATGGGCAGTCTGTCAGACTGCTTTTGCTACTTCGTAATGTGAATCTGAATCCTTTAGATGGTCATAAAGGGTTCTTCTGACTGAAATAAACGTCCCTTTGCTTAACTTTTGAGCTACTTGTTTATGACAGTGAGCAAAAATAATTCAGTTCATATGGCTCTTGACTAAGTGAGTCTTGCAGGGCCCTTGACAAAAGTGTATGGTTTCCCTGAGAGCAGATGTAGGCTCACACGTGCTTTGCATGGCATACTCCTGGCCTGTCACTGAAGCTCATGTGATCTTGACATGAATGTGCTTGTATTTTATTTTTTTCCCCACTTTAACAATTGAATTCTGTGTTCCCTAACTCTGTCATTGTGTTCTGAACACTTGTTTTCCTTGTGAACATGGGTGAAGCCTGCTCCAGGGAATAGGGTTACTAAATACCGGGACTTGCAGTGCTCCACAGAATTCAGCATTGTCCCAGTGGCACTGTGTGCAAGTTCAGATGCAGAAGGATAATGACTACAGTTTACTTCCTATATGTTTTTTAAATCTCAGAGTTGGAACACTGTTATGTAAGCTTATTAGATTTCTTTTCCTGGCATAATAATATCTGCCATGCTGCCACAGAAACAACAACAAAGATGATTGTGGCAAAATTAAGTAATCTCTTGTAGTTCTTAATTTACTCTGATGGGCATCTGTGCTTTAATAATGATAATTAAACAGCATCTTGAAATTGAGCATTGCTTTACAATTTTGAAATTTTATGTACTTCAATATATTTCTTCTCTATGGATGTACACTTTTAAATTAAGCTCTTACATAGTTTTGAATGGAAAAAATACAGCTTTTCAATGGAAATCAGAATTCTGAAGGCTGATATTTAAATGAATGTATGGTAAAATACATAAGTTGAAAATAGATCCTAAAATGATATTAAATCTTTCTTTCTGCTAATATTTTTCTTTTTTATCAGTAGCTTTAGTTTGCATGTACTCTCCAGCATGATTTTAGGGTTTAATCTTAACTTGATTTAGGACCAAGGCACATATTTATTGTTATTTATGTATTTTTTTGTTTTTAACCTTTTAATTTGCAACTATCATGATAGCTGCAAAAATATTCCAGGATGTTTTGTGCTGTGATATCTCTTCTTCTTGGGTGGTTCCTTTAGTATATTTTGATTTGTGCTGGTCCACACAAATTATGGTGTTGTCTCAAAATAAACTGTGCCTTTTATTTCCTAGTGATATAACACTATACTTCAGCTGAGCTATAGCTGAAAGCTTTAGGTGAAGAGATAATTACCTTCTTGACCATTTATCTTTTAAAAGGCTCTGGTCAACATTGGTGGGCTAAAGACTTACCTACCTCTGCCACAGTTTTGGGGTTTTTTTCTTATTTCTCTTGCAAAGACTGATAATGTTTTGATTTAGCCAGCAATAAAATTATCCAGGACCTTCCTGCTTATCTGTCAGCTGCTGACACTTTCTGAGCAAACCGGTCTGCAGGAAGTTGTCTGGGTTTGAGAGAGCACAAGTCTGGGGCAGGACCTTTCTCTAGAGAGGAAGAGAACTCCAGACTTAAACCTTCCGTTTCCATTTGCTGGGATCCACCGTAACCAAATTTTTAGGTTTTAAAGACATGTGGTAAGGTTTCATTTGTAGATGATGGTGATTCCCTGTTATTCTTTGCCATTATTATTTGATATTGAACAGAGTACTATAAACAAAATTTTTCTCTCTCTTGCTACAGGTTGATCTTTGTGTCTTCTTTTTCCCCAGTGTGCTTTAAAAAAAAAAGTACATTTTTGTCTTCCTTTCAGTTTTTCAGGGAAAATAATCCTTTTCTCTCTAAACCAGGAAGAAGATCTCCCTCCCCGAATCAGCTATCTTCAGCCTCTGGCTTCGTCACTTACCAAGCCTTGAAAAAGCTACGTTATATCTTTTAGACCAGCTGGTTTCCATTCAGTTGAATTCATTGGAAGAAGTGGCTTGTGTCATAAAAGATTCGTTACTGGTATGTGCAACATGTCATATGTTTGATACTGCTCTTTCACGCTTCAGAAGTGACAGAGAGTTTTCATATACGTCAGCATCTTTGAGGGAAATGGCTGTCATGTGGCGTATAACTTGCTAATGCAAAGGCAAATCATGAGTCTTCCAAATGTCACTAAATTTTTAGTTTTTACACTGAATTGGTAGAAGAGAAAAAAGATTTCATCCAATGACAAAGAATGGAGAGACAAGAATCTGACTGGTGGGGGTGCTGAGTACCTGCCTCTGTCTTAATAAATTATAAACTTTGGCCAGGGAAGATTTGAATCTGTTTTTACTTCAATCTCTGTACCCTTGGGAGATCAGCAGTTTAAACAACTGAAATTCCTTGTAGATTATTTTATTATGGACTGCTTAGTTACTTGGTTTTGTTTGCAAACCTGAACAAAATTCTTAACACAAAACATTTGCTAAACTGTAATTAAAGTTTGTTTTCAAATCCTGTGCTACGCAGTGCACCAAAAATCTTTCCTATGAGAAAACATGACACAATACCTTTTCCAAAATAATGAGCTAGTTTGCAACACTAAATGCAAATTTGTTAATTATAGTGTGAAATAGCATGTGTGCTATGTACTTAAATTATGTATTTCATAAAATGGATAGAACTAAAAAATGGCACATGGTATCTTATTTTCAGCCTATGAAACTGCTTACAGAGTATGTATTTTAGACAGGAAAAGAATGATACCTTTAATTATTCTTCCTTTTTAATTGAATCTGCAAGTTTCTATTTTAGTGATCCATTATAATACTTGCAAATCTTGTAAGTGCTTGGCGTCAACAGCACTTCGTATGTCATCTGGGGAATCTAGGTATTCCATAAGACAAGGCTATACACAAGGCCTGTGCCTAGTTTTTGTGTGTCAGATACACCGTGGGTTGAATACAGTATATGATACCACATGTGGCTGAGGAAAAAATAAAAATATCTAGGTTATATATGTAAATAAGTAAAATCTTTGCTTTAATTATTGGTTTATTGTTGTTTATTAACAATGTTCGTATTTACCTTGTCTTCATATCCTGATCCCTGAAAAGAATGGAACATTACTGTGCTAGCACACTTAGGTTGTCCTTACTTGCCTCTGCTCCAAAGGCTTTGTGCTTTCAAAGTAAGAAACTTACAGAGTGGAAAGACCAGTGCAAGAGCTTTGAATGCTGATTTAGAGAGGACATCCTGTGAACAAGGAGCGGAATGAATGGATGCATGAAGAAGAAAGCCGTTGGAAGATGGATATTGCTGATTGATAGGCATTGATAAGAGGGAGGGTGCAAATGGGACATGGAATACCAATTAAAAACAGCAGGATGAGAAGCTTCAGAGAGGCAGTATAGAAGGAAAATATTTGATCCAGAATTTGTGTTCTAAAATACTTAATGATATTTTGTACAACTTGTACATGGTACTATAAAGACACTTTGACATTAGATCAGTCAGCACTTTGAATCTAACAGTATGATTAATTTAGCCCGCCTGAAAGACATTTGAATATTTATTTAGGAATATGGGTATGCATTTTTTGGCAGTTGGATTATGGTATTTGTAGGATGTGACCTCTGTTTGCCTTATGGATATGGTAATAAAAAGTGGAATCATGAGACAAAACTTGATTTATACATTTTTTCTATTTGGAAGAAAACCTCTAGAGTACAAATAGGCAGAAATATGTTAGTGATTTGGTTATAGTATATGATAAGAAGGAAATTTCAATAAGCTCTTTCATAATTGCATTATCAGAGTCATTTATCTAAACAAAATATCTTGATACAGCAACCAAACTGTACATAACCCTCATAGAGATCTGTGGTACCCAGATAGTTGTAAACCACCATGCTTCTATTATGAACGAACCTTGATATGCAATACTCTTGTATTTTAATTCCAAGAGTAATTGTAGTGTGATGGTCCACTAACTTGTGTTTTATATGGTATGCCATTAGGTTTGTGGTTTTGGGGCTAAACTGGAATTAATATTGGAAATTCTATAGTTATTCAGAAGTAATAAAAACAAATTAAGTGACCATCACAAATGGTCTTTTAGCTTCTTCAGAATTTGGTTGGTGAGTCGATGTCTTCCTTTCTCAAGTAACTTTAAGGATTGTATGTGTGCATTAACAACTTAAATTTAAATAAATACACATACTAGAATTTTATGCTTTACCAGAAATGGATAGATATGTATATAAACAGATTTTTAAAGCATGTAAAAAAAGATGTGAATGAATCAGTGTCAATTATAGTTTGTGTTCAGTTCTTAGATAACTTTCCAAAGTGGTTTTATTTCTTTAAAAGTTATGTTGCAAGAAAACTGCAATAGTTTGAGAGGGCTTAAAATTTGTCGGCTCCTCCTTTATAAACCATCTGTTATTGCTGCGTTTTGTTTTTCCACCTTGTCAGCTTTCCCAAGGCCAGCCCAGAATTGAAATTATGTGGCGCTCTAGCTGTGGGGTCTCCCTTGCTGTTATTTTCACTTCAGCATTACAGAGGAAATACAGTTTTAGTGGGTGATATGGCGACTCCTGTATTGCCTGACAGGATACCAAGCTGGAGACTGCTCTGGTTCCCATGCCCTTCCATTGCCCTCTTGCTATGTCTTATCCCCAAGTTTTGGGTCCAGCTGGATCCACACTCACCTTTCATTGGGAGCTGTGCCAATAAAATAGGCATTAACGAGGGAGGGAGAAGGAAGGATAGAGAGAGAAAATGAGGAGCTTTTTTTCTTGCAATACATTCCAGCTAAGTTACAACTAGTTCCCTCTGTATTGCCTGTCTTCAAAACCTATGTTGTTATGGTAAATTTTTTGAAATAGTGCTCACTAATTTATTCATAATGTTGATGAATTCAGGAGCTTTTTAAACCTCTGTAAAAAGATGCTTGTGCTTTCAAAATAAGTGTATGCTTCAAAATAAAAATACATTCGGCACTTGATATAAGAAAAAAATTGTGTCATTTCTCATTTTTAATTGGTAAATCTAAAATTCAGAAATAGAGGTAAATATACAATTTGGAAATACAGACAACATTGGAAATACAGCAGTGTAGCAGTTTCTTAAAGCTAGACGTGTTTAACTGTAGAAGTGTTGTGTGCAATTAATTGCCTGTGAGTCTCGAAGTCAAGAGAACTGGTATTTGCAGTGTTACCATCTCAAATCTGTTGCTGTGTGATCCTGGGCACAATTTGTTTCCCTGTTTATTCTTTCTTGCAGTTGTTACAGAGCATTCTAGGATGTGAATAAATGCAGTATATGGTTATTAGTCTGTTCCTTTTTGTACCATTTACTTGCATCCTGTAGATACAAATGTTTTTTTCTTACTTCTTTACTCAGTTCTGGCTTTGTATTATAAATTGGTTGGTTAGGATTCTTCTTTCTGATAATATAGATGCAAAAGTAGTGTGGTTCTGTAGAACTTGTGTGTGTAATACTTTGTTACAGTATATTTTTTCCTATTTTATTTCTTTCAAAAATCCCAGTGGTTTTGTGTGGGTTTTTTTTCTGAAGAGGCATACATTCTTAGCATATGTAGTCATGATATCACACATGGAGCTCCAGTCCCCTGTGTTCGGATCTTTTTGGTTTTGTGTGTGTTGTGCCATATTTATTGTGCATGTTCTAAAGGTGATGGAACAAGCTTCTGGTTAAACAGCATGTTTGGATTTCTGAGCTTTCTGTGAAAAGTATTGCGTAGTCATAGACAAGATTATTGAAATGTAAAATGCCTTTTTATTTTGAAAAAATAAGGAGATAATGTCAACAACATGAAAACCCTATGAGAATCCCTACTGAAATTGACAATCCCTCCCAAACTCCAGAATTGCTGCTGGCTGCAGCAGAATTGTGCTGCCTGCTCTAGGCCTGCTACACAGCAGGCATATCTTCAAATTGCCTTGAAGACTTTCATGCTATCACAGCATTCTTTGAGTGCATGCAAATTAATTCCATACAGTCCATTGATCAGAATCTTGTGGAAGTAGGTAACAGTGGTGGGGTTTCAGGTTTTTTTTTTGTTTCCCTTTCGAATACCAGTGATGAAATTCATATTGATTTCAGTCATGTAGATTAGATACTAGGAGCTATTAATTGTGGTTTGTTGTAGTGAGTACTGAAGATTGCTGCTGTCTGGCAGGAAAGGGTGGAGAGTTTTTCATTGTTGCATACAGCACATTTATTTTGGTCTTGTTCAAAAGAACTATGATTTGATCTTGATATGTATGCCAATGTGCTGATGTACCCTTTCTAGTTTATACTCAACCTGTCTTAAGCAACAGTGTGTTGGTACGTCATCATAGAAGTATGTGTGCAAAGGTATGTAGAGTATCTGAAAAGACAGTGGAGAAATGGCTGAATTCAACCATTTAGCCCAGAGGACTGTAAAATACACTTCTCACTTTCCACTGTTTTCACAGAATTGCAGAATGGTTAGGGTTGGAAGGTGCCTCTGGAGGTCGTCTAGTCCAAGTTTTCCTTTAAAAAAAGAAAGAGATGAACGTGTCTCCTTTTTTGTCTCGTCCAGCCAGTTTTTTTTCTTCCTCTAGCGGTGGAAGTTTGGAGACCAGCCCTGCAACAAGCTGCATGCTGTTCTTCACACGTCCAAACAACCGGCTGTAAATACTCTCGAACACTAGATGGCACACGTTCAATAGGACAACTGAGCTACAGCCATGTGACAAAGAGAAAGTGTGGTAAAACATGAAAATGAGGTGCCACCTAATATTTCCAGTATGGTGAAGACAGCTGTGAGAAACAAAGAGCTTTTCTAGACAGTTTGTATTAAAGGTTGTCTCTTTATTTTCCGAGATTATCAGATAGGGATCATATAGAGTAAAGTCCTCATTCTGCCCGTGTGCAACTAAAAAGAAAAACATTCTATTCTACTCGGTACTTTTTTGGCTTGAAACAAGTGCATAAAAGTTTTCTTTGGAATAGTGCATCAGGCACATAAAGCTGTTACAATAAATGCCATTTATAAAAGCTATTCCTTCCATGCATCCTGAGGTTTATGGAATACATTTTGTTGAACATGCATTACTCCAGATTGTTCAAGCACTATATTCTCATCAAATCTTCAGGTGCTAACTTCAGAAACACAAAGTGTGAGTTTGTTTTTTAACTTAAGCAAATATACTTTGGGGAATATGAAGTAGTTATTTATTCCTGGTGCTCTATAAAAGCCTAATAAATCTTAGAGTTTAAGAATGTGGGATTAGGAAGTGGTGTGTTTACTAGTGCATATTTAATATAAAAACTTCCTTAAAACAGTCTTTTGTGTGGTAGCATGATAAAAAGCTTCACTAGTTTTAAAAAAAATACATTTTGGTGCACTGAGTTATTTAGCTTGTACTAGCAACTCTGAAATTCACAGAAGAAGGTAATACTGTGAAAAAATGTCTTGGGCCAAAATGTGTGCGGTAGTATTAAAGACAAAGGTGATAAAATAAATTTAATTTCTGGAATTTAATTTTGAAGGTGTAGCAAGAATCTCAAAGCACATCCAAAAAGGATTGTCTGTGAAGAGGAGAAAAAAGCTTTTTGTAAATCTGCTCCCTGTCTCTTGCCTCCAGCAACTGCATGCAACAACCTGTTCTTTCTATCTGCCACCTTTAGTACTTTTAGTGATTGTTGTCATAAACAATTTGGGATCCCAGGTGTTTGCATTTATCAGCTGATTAGCCTGCTTGGTATCGCTGTGGATCTCCTTCCATGGCTTTGATGTAGTTATTTTGAAGAACCTAATCCTGAGAAAATCTGAGGGTTTAGTAGGAGTTGATCTGAGATTTACAGTTTAATAATTACAGTGTAATAGCATCCATGAGTTAAGCTGTAAATTATACAGTGGCAGCTGTTTGAGTTGTTTCTTATTAATGACTAATTTTCTTTCATTTGTTTATCAACAGCCACAAGCAGCAAGCCATCCTGCCATTTTCAGAATTGTTAATGAAATTTTCAAGTAAGTTTTGAAATTATAGTGGGAGGTGTTTCAAATTGTCAGTTTATATGTTGAGGTTTTCTTCATGAGAAGGAGGAGTATAATAATCCAGGATGTATTATAATTTCAGGATGTCTTTTTCTTTAGCTGTATGCCATAGTATCCCCTTCTGCATAATATACTACAAATAATGAAAAATGTTAAAAATCTTGTGAACTTTACATGAAATTTACATTATAATAATCATTGATACAGTTGATTACATTGTATTTTAGCCTTTAAAATTTATAATTTATTTTTTACTTCAGTAGAGATTTGTGACTGAAATATGATTTTGAGGGGAAAATTATAAATGGCTTGGCCTGTGCCAGCATGAAGGTGGAATTTAGCTAAAACATTTTCAATCACCAGTGTAGCCTCTTTTACATTATGTTAATAGTCTTCATTGATTGATATCAGATATGCTCTTAATGGCATTAAACTATTGATCTGCCATAATGAGTTTGGCTTTGAATGCATTTAAGATTATTTTGAAGCAATATATATTGTTTACCACATGGGGGCTTCCAGTCCTTTGTACTCAGTTTTCAGTGGCTTTTTCTCTTCACTTCACTTGACTTATTATTTTATCATTCTTTTTAAGTAGATCTACTGCCAGAGTTACCAGTGTTACAGTTTTGATACAGCAGTAATGTATTTGGTGACTGACATTCTTTGTTCATCAAGTGTTTTCCTTTTTAAGAAAAAGGGGCTCCCAGGTGCATGTGTTTGGGGGCATTTGTGTGTCTGTGCATGTTTAGGTTTGTGCAGGCACTAACAGAAGAGTCTTTGCTGTAGAAACTGTAGGCTGCTGTACTGTGAGAGTGGAACCACTCGACAGCTATTGCTATGGCAGTCCTTTCTGTTGCTGTGGTCCTGTGTCTGAGCATAGCTAGCGTTTTCTGAATAGTTGAGACCAGTCACTTCTCCAAAGCAAAATGCACTCGAAAATTGATGTGACTTCAACAGACCTGTACTAATGTCTTAGGCTGGAGGCAGTATATTGTGATGGTTTAGGGACACAAAATTTGTTCAAGCTTCTTCGCTTATTTAGGGTCATGTTATATAAAACATTTTCTAAAAATAACATGAGATGACATAACTCTTTTGCACCCTTTCCATTTGGTAGACAGTAGAAATGCATGAGATGCTGTTTATCGGATAATACAGGACTTTGTTCAGGAGAGTATTTCCTAAGAAAACTTTGCACTTGTATTAATGTTCCAAATCATCTTAGAAATTCATCATGTTTTCCTGTTGCTCAGCCTACATTGTCTGCTCCTCTCCTTTGCTTTGCATTGTTTCTATTTAGTATGCTTCTTCCTCTACATTGTTGGTATTAAACCCTTAATATGTTTTAAAAATACTATGTTTCAGGTCCTCTTGGGATTAAGTGAAGCTATATATGTTAGCTGGCTTTTGCAGACGGCTTGGTTTTTGCAGCTTTGTGTTCATTTTTGTTGTACTTCTCTGACATCCTTCCAAATATTATGAAGTGGTGTGCAGACATTAAGATACTATTCCAGATGTAGTCATGTGTGAGATTTTAGAGAGCTGCTGATAAAGAACTTGTACTTTATTGCTTGGAAGTTGTGTTATGTTTCTACATGTGGCAGAAAACTCCTTTTATTTTAGGGGTTAATAATCTGTTAGAAGCACAGATCTAAGCATTGTATTTCTTTCAGGAATAACTGTTCCTGCTATTTGCATGCTTTTTATTGAGGTTGATTGTGCTAAATTGTTTTATCTCGGTGATATTAACTTGGGTTTGTATTTCCCAAGTAGAAGCATATTTTGTTGCTATGTGCAGCTATACAGAAGTCCACACACCTAGACTCTCTTGAGTGTCTGTGTACTATTTCTTGTGTTTATATTAGTGATTATATGTCACTGTAGTTTTGTGAAATTTCTCTGTTACAGTAACATGTTAGCTGTTTTTATCTCTTAGATCATTATAGAAAGAACGAAACAATTCTCTAGTAAAAAACTTATATATCAGTGGCAGCTTATTTTGAACATTTTTTCTTCTTACTATTACATGTCTTTCAAATAAGAGAATGAAAATTACGCTTTGCTGCCCATATGTTTTTCTGCTGCATTTGCTTGAGGTTACATTATGCCCTATGGAAGGCCAGTTAAAGCGTTCGCTTTCCTGAACATCCAGAGTGAATTTTATGATTTCACCACTGAAAGCACATTGGAATGCATTGGTCCCTAATTAAATCTACAGCAATTACTGATCTAAAGTATGCCTTTGGTATACACTCGTTTCTGTTTGTGCTTCTCATTCATTGTTTAATGATCACTAAGGAGTCATAGCGATGGAACAGCAGCTGTATTATTTAAGTTCAGTTTCTTTGTGTAGTTTTTTAAATACGTAACTTTTAAATTTGGTCAACAGCTTTCGTCTGCTTGTTTCCCTGGATCCAGTTAGGAGTGTTATATTTAACAGTTTAAGACAAGATTTTTTTTTTTTTTTAATTTTTTTTTCCCCTCCAGGTACCATATTGGAGGAGATTGTACTAGACTGTACTTTCTCTCTAATTTGAGGTGGCCTAATTTGGATGCAGTCCCACAAAGCACTAAAGTATGCTTAACTGTAAGCATGGGAGTAGTTGCTCTGAACCCAGTAAGACTGCTCAGGTGCCAAATTTGCCTAATAAAGTTGTGGTAGTCTCTTTTAATTTTACACTTTTTTCCCCTATTGGTAGGGTAAATTATGTGTGTCTGCATGTATATTGCATATGCTTACTGAATGTAGTTTATTTGTAGGAGTTGCATACTTTTTTTTGAAGTAAAAATAAAATTAAAATAAAAAAGCCTGCAAAGTTAGTATTTCTATCAGTTTCCACACTGCCATAATGAGCTCAGACACAGCTTGAATCTACAGCATACAAAGAATGTACCTTTTCTTTCTTCATTTCAATTAACAGTGGTGTGATGGGCAGACTAATTATCTACTCTGTCATAATCTAACTTTCCAATGCTTAGGAACGCACTGCTGGAAACTGATGGAACTCCAGAAGTTATGACCACAATACAGGTGTTTACACAGCTCTTCCTTCAGGCTCATCAGAATGAAAACAAGCAGGTTAGTCCAGATCTATTTCTTAATGTTTCTTTTCAGTGAGAAGGTATGAAATTTCACAAGAAAAGAACAATTCTACTATTAAGAATGGTGATGGAATATAATGTGCTGATTAATAGCATCTCTCTACAGCTGTATATACATGCCAAAGTTCAGTTCAAATATTTTCACCTGTGAATAAAATTATAGTGTGAAACCAATATGTAAGAGCAATTTACCTGACTTTACCCTGGAGTAATCCTGCAACCTAAACTGTGATTTTCACAGGGGCGGTTCCTCTGGTGCTGAAGGTTCTGCCTGTATAGTGAACATGATCATGATCATCCATCTTTGATAGAAAGGATGAAAAACTTCAGATGTGTTTTTCTTTTGCAGTAGCAGGATTTCTGATAATAAATGAAACAGAGATAATAGCCCCATCCCCATTCCCCCAAATAATTGTAAGTAGGACACCAAATAGTCAGATTTGTCTGTTCAAAAGGTAGAAGACACAGAATACATACTGGTTTCAGTTTCTGGTCTTCAACAGTGGCCTCAGGAATTTTTCCTCAGTCCAAGGCTTCAAATTTCCCAGCTTAGTGTCTCTTCTTCTGCATAGATTTTTATACAGGTCTTACTGAACTGAATTAAGTAGAATGACTTTTGTATGTATTAATTTAAACGAGCAGGATCAGTTTCTTATTTTTAAATTTCGAAATGGAGATACGAAAAAGTCTTATCTTGTTTATAGGTTGCAAACTTCTTTTCGGATTCCCAAATCACACTGTCATTTCACATCCTGACCATTTTGTTTGGTTGTTTAACTCCAATTCATATGATGTAAATTTGGAGAGTATCCTATCATTTAATAGCTTTCACTTTAGACTTTCCAGTTCCAGTGTCTTTGAGTTTTGCATCTTTTTGGGGAGATGGTAGTTAAGAAAATTTTGGGACTTCCTGGAACTTGTGATGTACTGGCAGTACGTCACTAGTACAGTCACTAGCAGTGTGATTGAATCTGTCTTCTAGCTTCAGGCAATATGAATCAAGGATGAAACTGCAGCTGTTTTGCTTAATATATAGGTGCTGCGCATGTTACTTTTATGCCACTCTGCCTACATGGCAGCAGCACACTGTGTAGCCCCAGGTGGGGGTGACTGGGTGGAGAACGCAAGTAAAGATCCCACACCCATGAGACACCCAAGAGCTAATCCTGTTGTGCAGGTGATGCATTTGCTCCAGGGTGAAAGTCCTTCACTTGCTGGCATTGTGACATGGACTATTGCCCACTTTTTTGAAGTAGTTTTAAATGTTAAGCTTCCTCTATTTAACTTGTATACAGTTTAATTCATGGGGTTCTAATTAAGGTATTATCTTAAATATTAGAATTTAAAACCCCTTGTTTCACAGTTTATGAATCAACCATAATGTTAACTAACAGTTGGCATACAAAAATGCAGGCACAGACTGCTTCCTAAACTTTGTTTAAATCAGATCATATTTTTTTGCCATACCAATATTACATATATTCATAAGGCACCCATCTTTTAGGTATCTGGATGCCCTTGACAGGACATAATGTGCTCCATTAACATTTCACAGAGGAATGGTAAAACCGTTAATGACAGAGGATGAAGAGGGTTCTGGCTGGGTCATCTGAGACCTTAGGAATTTATAGTACAGTTAATTAAAAAAGGCTAGACAAACAGATGTGTCCACAAAATTTTCAAAAGAACCAGGTCATGTCTGGCAGTTGCACAGGTTTGCAAGGTAGGAGGAGAACAATTCTCTGTGTGCAGTGTGGCAGCTGTCAGAAATAGCTGTCTTTTCTAATAACTTTGCAGACCATTTAGAGAGAACAAGGTTTGGCAGAAAAAACCTGAAGAGTGTGAAAAAACACTGCTACAGGGTTTAGGAATAGTCTTGTTTCCTCTATGTTTTGGGAGACTGAAAAATGTATAAATGGAACATGGAGTTTAAACCTACTTAGGAAAAAAGACCAGTTGTGTAGTCATTGAATAAGAAATTTAAGAATGGGTGTACTGAGATCACTGTTGGGATAATCTTTTCCATGTTTTGTACAAGCAGATTTTCTTGTAAATTTGTGATGGTAGTGAAAGCTGACCTAAGGATATTTGGGTCACGTTACTTGTAAATTTATGAACTTAAAGTACATGTTTTTATTTGATGGAAATTATAATTTCTTCCAGGATTATTTTCCCTTGATCATTTCAGAATTGTCAGTCATTTTCACCCGGGAATTTTGTTTTAAATAGCTGCATAAATATTTTAAGCCAGTGTTCAACTTTTATTTCCTGTTATACATCATGGCAATTATTATAACCAGCCACATCCAAACTCTTTCTGTCTCTTTGTACCTTGTTTTGCACTTTGTGATGACTTACGTAAGGAAGGAACTGCCTAACATACTGTGTTTTTATGCTAGGAAGCAAACATTTTTTGCTTTGCTTAAACAATATGCTGAAAACTGGTTTTCACTTACTTTACAATACTGTTTTCACATGTAACTCATGCTGTGGGTTGTCTTGGCTACTACTAACTGTGTCAAGGGCTCCTTTTTCATGGGGATTTTTGGTGCAAGCTAATTGGCTACATGCATACTTTAGTATAGGGATTATTAATTTTTAATGAACATAATTCCACTTGACAAGTAGACTTTTAGAGTCTTACCATACCAGTGATACCTAGACTGTCTGAGAATACTGTATATATTAGTGTGCTGTAATTTCAATTAACTGTTGTTTACAGAACAAAAAAATTAGTAGAGAGAGAATGTTTCATTCCATTTGTTTATAAGATGCATGCATGTATATACCACAAGAAATGAGTTACTAAATATGGTCTTCATTGGATTTAGAAATTTATCGCATTTTATAGAGTCTGTATTCCCAGTCTGTGTTTCAAGAGACGATCTATTTGCTAAATAGTCTCTTATTCCTAAAGAAAGGAGACAGAAGAGTTCTAAGGTCATTGGTATGGAGATTTGAAGACTGAAATGACAGAATCATAGAGCGGTTGTGGTTGGAAGGGACCTCTGGAGGTCATCTTGTCCAACACCCCAGCTCAAGCAAGGCCACCTAGAACCAGTTGCCCACGACCATGTCCAGTTGGCTTTTGAATATCTCCAAGGACTGAGACTCTACAACCCCTCTGGGCAACCTGTGCCAGTGCTCTGTCACCCTCACAGTGTGTTTAAAAAAAAAAAAAAAAAAAAAAAAGTTTTCTGATATTCAGATGGAACCTCCTGTGTTTCAGTTTGTGCCCATTGCCTCTGGTCCTGTTACTGGGCACCACTGAAGAGAGCCTAGCTCCATCTTCTTTGCACCCTCCCTTCAGGTATTTATATACATTGATAAGATCCCCCTTGAGCCTTCTCTTCTCCAGGCTCTCTCAGCCTTTCCTCACAGGAGAGATGCTCCAGTCCCTTAATCATCCTTGTGGCCCTTTGTTGAAGTCTCTCCAGTATGTCCATGTCTCTCTTGTACTAAGGAGCCTAGAACCGGACATAGTACTCCAGGTTTGGCTGCTGGAGTTGGCTACTCACCAGTGCTGAGGAAAGGGGAAGGATCACCTCCCTCAACCTGCTGGCAATCCTTTGCCTAATGCAGCTCAAGGTACCATTCGCTGCCTTTGCGGCAAGGGCACATTGCTGGCTTAGGTTCAATTTGGTGTCCACCATGACCCCCAGGTTCTTTTCTGCAAAACTGCTTTCCAACTGGTTGGCTGCCATCATGTACTGGTGCCTGGGGTTGTTCCTTCCCAGGTGCAAGACTTCACACTTTCTCCTTGCTGAACCTCATGAGGTTTCTGTCAGTCCATTTCTCCAGCCTGTCAACGTTCCTCTGGATGGCAGCATGACTCTCTGGCTTATCAGCCACTTCTTCCGGTTTTGTGTCATCAGCAAACTTGCTGAGGGAAGTCTCTGCCTCATTGTCCAGATCGTTAATGAAGATGTTCAACAGGACAGGACGCAGTATTGACCCTGGGGTACACCATTAGTTACTGGCCTCCAGCTAGACTTTGTGCCACTGATCACCACCCTCTGGGCCTGGCCATTCAGCCAGTTTTCAATCCACCTCAAAGGGAGTTCAAATTGCACTTGCACATGCATGCTACACATTAGAGGTGCCTGTAGTAGATGTTTGCAGAACAAAAAGATTAAAGGTATGCTGCTGCTAGTCTCAATTACACAAGGAGCAGTGTTCACTGTATACAAATTGCACGTACCCAGATAGAGGACAAGTCTGTTATCTATGACTACCTTACCATGTGCTGAATCAGATTCTAAGAATTTTAGGTTTCCATTTTTTGAACATAAGGCAATAATCTACATCACACCCTCAGATTTTGTAGATGGTATTACTTCTTAGTTTAATATGACCCGTGAACCTGTTTACACTGGAAAATTAATTTAAACTAATTAGTGTCTCTTTTAACCTCTGCATATTAAGAGTGAAGACTTTTGTGATTACAGGGAAAAAGCCTAAGAATATTAAGATGTAATTTTCTTCATACTCTGAATCTTTTTTAATGCGTGTATTTTAAAAATCCATAAATAATTACTTTTTCTAAGCAAGCTTTTCCTAAATATCCCCCTTCTTTCTTTATGCAAAATCCTGAAATTAAGTGTAGAGTTTTTGTGTTCTCTTCTTCAGTCTGTATTGTTAATTACTACCTTAGATGAGATTGTTCACTGTGGGTTTGTTTTGAAAACTGACCAGAAAGCTCTTAAAATAATGATTTTGTATCTTAGCATAAATTTCCACTGAAGGCCTACTTCCCTCACCATCACCAGCCTCTTGTCACAGCTTTACTCAGATGTCCTTTTGGTAAGTTTCTTCATGAAATATTTGCAGCATTAGCCAACCTGCATGATCTGTATATGTCTTAAAATAACTTTAAAAGTGATGAAGACAAAATTTTGCCATTTCCTAAATAGGGTGTGTTGACTTAGCAATGTTAATAATACTCTTTTAATGTTTTGTTTTGCAGGAACATCCAATTCTTATATAACAATAATACAGGTGTAATTTTAAAGAAAACTAAACCAGAAGTGAATAACAAAGAAAGAGTGCATAATTTTGTAGGAATGAAAGTTACCGAGATTGTAAAAATACTGTTGTCATTATGAAATTTTTCGCATGTATATTACAAGAATAGCCTTGCCATTTGTCTCTGAAGCTTGAATTTTGCTGATCTTTTAGATTGCAAACCTAATATTTTTAGTCAGGTTTCCCATTTTTATAGATCAAGAAACCACTGCTCAATATGGTACAGTTTTTCATGTGCAATAATTTCAGCTCAGTACAAGAGCCTCTGGGAATGTTACTCCACTGATTATATATTTAATATTGAGGTAGCATTTACACAAGGGTACATCGGCCTCATTTGAATATTCCTAGCTGTACTTCCTCACATGCATTTGTCAATGAATTGTTCTAAGAAACACAGTAATTTTGGTATTGTTGAAAATTGGGAAATTTTAAAATGAAATTTTAAATGCTTTGTGATAACTGAATAAAGTTGCACAAATTTTAATGCTAACTTAATATGGTTAATTTCACTGTTCTGTTTATTTTCATCCTCCCTCCTCAGAACTGCCAACTACACAGTGGTCTCAACATTTGAAACACATTTCGGATATGCTCAAAGCATTAGTAGAAGATACAAACATTAGGTAAGCAGTATTATATTTTCTAACTTTTTGTCCTTTGCATATGTTACTTTGTAAAAAGTCATGTCATTTCAAGTCTTTAGTGGCTACATTTCACCATTTTCTTATTATTCTCTAAATAGAGCTTTGTTTTAAAGAATAGGACTTAGATTACTTACTGAACCTGAACTTTGTAGCACCTATAGACCTGATCAGTAAGTCTCTGAGTAAACAAAGTCTTGTCATTCTTTTCATTTCAGCAAATAGCTAGTTGTATAACAGAAATGCTTACTTGCCTATTCTCCCATTTCTCCCCCAAAACTTTTAAAACTGATTCTGAACTGAATGACAAGAGAACTCTTTCAACCAGAAAAGCAGCTAGTATTGGAAAGAGCCTGTTGTGAGCGGTACTGTTTTATGGAGGAGATTGTATTGGCTTTCTGCAGGCTTGTGCAAACATCCAAACTTCAAACTTCTTGATTTTTTTTTTCATAAAGATATGACTGCTAGACTGCAGTATCATTGTTTGTTATATTACTCTTTGAGCTGACACCCCATGTTTCTGACCTGTTGCCCTTAGCTTTTTTGGTCTAAATAGTTACTATAATGAATGATAGTGTTTGTCGACGTGAATTCTGCTTTGGTAGTAGATGCTATAGGACTATATGAAAAAAATGAAAAAAGATACATCTCTTATCTGTTGCTGCCCTGTAATTCTTTCTTATCAAGTGAGTGATGAGACCTGACTCACCTAGAGCTTGGGTATGAATGAGTCTGCTTAGATCTGCTCCGAGAGTGAGCTTTCCAAAGAACATTGAACAGCTTTTAAATTCAAAGAAAGCAATTTAATTTTGATTTAAAACCTGAAATATTTCAATAGAAACATGGAATGCGTAGGCCAGATAGACGTGCAAAACAAGATACTCAACTGTCCCCCTGTCTCCTGGAAGGCAGATACTTTCATCCGTGCTTGGTTTCAGTTAACCCGTGGAGGCTTTTGTTTTTGTTGTTGAGTGGCAGAAAAAAGCTTTTTGCTGTTCATTCTGAGGCCGGGCTGTCTGCTGGCAGCTTCTCACTTTCTGTACGAGACAAAGTTCAGTGCTATGTCTCGCCTGTTCATCCCTGAAGTCTGTCAAACCTTTCTGCCCTTGGGAGTGTGACCAGTAGCTGACCCTGGCTTCTTAAAGAAACACATAACTCAAACTTAGAACAAACAAATATCATCCATCATAATGTGTTACAATAATAGAAGCACGTCTGTTCTCCTTTTGTTGCCTAGTCCTTTCTTGGCTTATATTGTCTTTTTCCCCCTTTGCTTTGATAGTACACTAATTTGAATAGTATTGTACTTGCCAGAATATCCTCTTACTTCCTTTAGAAATTGTGCAACGATTATGTTTTCTACCAAACCCCTCTCAGTTACAGAGAAAATGGATCCGGCTTAAGTTTTTAAATACTAATATCCATGAGGAAACTGTATTCGATTTTCTTTTATTCCTTTATTCCTGACTCTCCATCTTTTCTACTTCATAAGATTAACAGAGGAGCAAAAAATACTACTATACAGCATATCCTCTTGCTTCTTATAGTCAGTGCTCTCTGTTTATATAGCTTGTTTTTCCATGGTTTTATTTTACACCAAATGTAAGTCTTACAGCAAGGTGCTTTCTGTGTACTTCTAATACAGATTGCTTCTGTATCTTCATTATTTATTATTACATGTAGTCATCTCAGTGAACAGTAAATATTATGTGACATTTTAAACCAGAAATCAACCGATGTACATTTTGCGGGGGAAAGTCCCAGAAAAAGTGAAGGGCCACTTTTGGCAATGACAGTGGAGCAGTTGACATAGGTGCCACTACAGAGCGGGTAGGAACAGCAGTGGGTACAGAAGTGACTCCATGATTCCAAACCGGGTACTGTGATGGTACAGGAAAGTTAAGGTGAGTTGTGAGTGCAGTGGTATCTAGGCTCTCTAGGCAAGAATGAAATTCTGTTCTGCTAAGCACCTGTTAAAATTAGTTTAATGCTTAAAGTTTAAGGACCTGTATTTACACATTGAGCTATGAACACTTCCAGTTGTAAATACTATCAATATTACCCCAAGTATAGTTATCTGTTCTCAGTAATTAACTTTTAATTAAATTCAATCTTTGATTGTACATCACTGGGTTTCAGAGCTAGCCTCTCCACTTACATTGTCACAGCATTGAATTATAATCAGATAAGTAGATTATTTTGCTGAGGGGAGGGCCGTTGTCCTAGATCACTATCACCTTTGTTTTTTCAAAGGTTTTTAAGTTGCATTTCCAGATTCTAGTATCTTCAAAGACTTTACCAATGCTGATCCTGTTCCTTTAGCTAAGGAATTTTAGTCTCAGATTTTGTCACATCTCTAGTTCCCTGCAGTCTGAGCCAGGCTGCTGCCCCTCCAAAAGCTGTGCAATATCAACAATGGTGACTTTTATAGCAGTCACCTCAGTACTCTATTTTCTGTCTATGACTCTATGTCACTCTATGTCAACCTCTTACATCTGATGTCAGTGATCATGTTTATCCAAAAATACTGTTGTGGTGGATTTGTGTGCTAGTAATAGGATTTTGAGACCCTGAGATTCTGTGGCCTATAGACAATATCATTTACGGGATCAATAATTTCTGGGACACCTGTAGACAACGTCAGTCACCAGTATACTCCAGACATAGAATACTATCTGCACACATCACACATCTGTAAAACTGTGTCGCCCACCTCTTCAGAACGTCTTAAAGATAAAGCAGTTTATTCCAACTTGAATTGTAAAGATTGTAAAGACCTTGTCACATTCCCCAGATGACGTGATGGTATCAGACAACTTAACTTCTGAAATTTCTGAGATCTCTTGGAGTTTCCTGGGAAGGGTGGCACAGCAGCTCTTGGAGTCCCCAGGCATAGAACATAAGAAAAACCTCTAATTCTTCAAACTTTTGCCAAACTTAATAGGAATAATTGTTCCTGGTTCTTAATCTCCTTCCAGCTGTCCTTCTGTCTGTCCTTCCTTCCACACTCAGTTTGACCTTTTGCTTCAGAGGCGCCTACCATTACTTTGCATCTACCCATTATTTCTCTTCTCTTTAGTCTTAACTTTAGAAGAGTACATGTGAGAAAGTGTAGAGATGAGCTGTGGTCCATTCTCACTTTTCTTTTTCTTACTGCAGAAACCCAGTTGTAAATACCTTCAAAATTTTCATTAAAGAGGACCTGAATTTTAAGAATCAGAAGATGAATATCCTTAAAAACTTTGTATTTAGTCCATCTAAATGTATTTGCTCATGAGTTACCAAAAAACATGTGCCTCATGAATTACGAAAAAACAGAAAATATCCCTGGAAAGCAACAGAGAGAAACTGGAAGACAATATAGGGCAACAGTATGTTAGAATACAACACTTGAGATATGATTTAAAATTTTGAAAATCCTTCAACTGGGGAGTATAAATGATAAGGTTTAATTTTATGATATATATTTTAATACATAGTATCTTGTCACAGTTTATTAGAAACTGGTGTTATGGATAGACTTTTCTACTGACAAAGTTAATTTGCTAGTAGCACTGGGTATGTCTTATTTGATTGTGACTGCAGGTAATAGAGTAGTACATGGATGTATGCTTAGCAGGTAAGGCACTACCTGTTGAAGAGTAGTTCAACGATTTTTATTTTCATGCCAGGACCCTTTGCAATTAACTTAAGACATTTAAAAATGTTAAATAACAAGAAATACTTATTGTGTCTTTGTTATTTTCCAGTTCTCTTGCTGACCTTTTTGAAATCTGGTTTTTGGTTGCTCGTTTTGGAGAATGGCTGGATATTGCGGCAGAACAATTACTGAAGGCTGCTGTAGAACCAGATGCTTTGCTGTGGCTGCTGGCATTTTACTACTGTCCTCAGAATGAAAATCAACAGAGGACTCAAACAATGGTGGGTAATGTAGCGATAGTAAGCAGCAATAAGCAGCAACAGTCTGCTTATGTCTTACTGCTATAAAACAAACAGTGCACACCAGAAAAATGAAAGGTCTACAATGGAGAAGGTTTTGGCTTTACAAGGTCTCAGTGGAGAGAGTTGAAAGATAATTTTTGTGGATTTTCTTGGTGACATTTAGAAAACATTTTTCTTCTTTACAGTATATTATATAGATTAGCACCTTGAGTTTCTTTTGGATAACATGGGTGCTTTTAGTCACAAGTAAAACTACTCTAGGAATGGTATTTTTTAAATCACTGTTGCAGAATTCAGCATTCCTGTGTTATGGCATCTTCTGAGAAGGAAACACAAGAGAAATCAAACAGCAGTCGAAGCAGTAAAGATCCTTACCAGACACAGCCCTAGTACTAACCTTGCCCATCTATTCTGATTTCTCTTATGTATCTTTACTGATTTTTGGCATGTATGAGATTGTAACAAGTATGTTATATTTCCACATGCTAGGTTTCTAACAGAAGGAAGTAGTGTTCTAACCTCACGCACTGTACTGCATGAAGAGTGCTCTGTGTCTATGTATGCATGCAAATACATGAAAGCCTTTAATTTAGACCTATTAACGCAAGTTTGAACTAGCCCAAGCAATCTGATCTACAAAGCCCAGATTCAAAATCTGGCTGTAGCATCTCTAGTTTTCCTTTCCGAGTAATCCATTTGAAAATGGATTCTGTTTGATCTAAAAATGCAGCTCAGTACACCACTCTAGTAAAACATCATGCTTTCATTTTACATCTAATGGTCCATGAACCAACAACGGTGTGTTCTGCAATGTTTTATTTCCTTCTCTTCCCCTCCTGCCGCCCAGATCGCACTACAAACGCAAGCTCACATCCCAATCACTTTTAAATTTTTTTTCTCTTTAATTTCTTATAGTCTAGGAGCAGGGGTGGGGTGTTGGCTGAGCAGAGTTAGGTTAGAGCTACAGTGAAGTAAAGAAACCAGGGTTGGTTTTAGAATGCAGTTTTGGGAAAGAAGGCAATACCCAAGCAATAAACATGAGTGAATGAAACTGAAGGACTATAGGTGCAGATCTATGTATGGAACATTGTTCTAACTCCAGCACCATAGAATGAAATCGCATTGTCCCATTTATAAAATCATCTCCCTGTGTGTCCCCTATTCTATCAGTTTGTTATTCTGTGCTAATGTATGACAAACTTCAGTGAGAAAAAAGCTTTTCCACTGACAGCCCACACAGTATACTCATCTGTTCCCAGAGGTCTAATATTTCAGTTCGTTATGATTCTTTTCTTTAGTTTACTTCAAGTAAGACTTCCCCCCCCCAGGTCAGGCTACTTCAGAAGCATTCCCACAGTTCATGCAAAGCTTCTGCCTTTAGTTAGATATTTGCTTTTTCTTTTAATTTGTCCTTTGGCAGGTTAGCTCTCAGCTCTTTCAAATGGAGTGGTTTCCTCCTCAATCCCTTCACCTCTCCCCAGTTACAGATTAAGATGGGATGGGAACTTCTGGCAGATGCCAAACTGGAGGACTTTTCATTCAGCTTATTTTTGTGTGGAAGGGCATGCACTCATGACTTAAGATTTTGTCTTCCTGCTACTTACTTAGGTAGCAGCTTATTTATCAGCAAGAGTGGAATACATAGGGTTAAAATGGTTTAAAGAAGAAAAAGGCTACTTTTGCTGTTCACTAGACTTCACTCATAAGTGCAGGACTGAATATTCTACTCAATATTTATTCATTTGTTGGAGTCCTTTCATACCTTTAGACTCTGAAACATTGGAGGAACAAAACTTGGAGGTTGGTCATAGTAACTTTGGCACTGAGTCTCCTAGTCTACGTGAGCTCATGGAGCAGGGCCTGCTACTATCAATCTCCAGTCTGTGGCACATGGGATGGAGGCACACCAAGAGTAGGATGCACAGAGGGATAAAGAATCTTGAAGAATTCCAGTTACCTTTCTTTAGGTTGTGGTATCATTTGTTGCCTCACATGTAATTGTGGACATAATTCAAGAATAGCAGCTTTTTCAGACTATTGTATGTGGAATTGTTAATAGGGCAGGGATGAGAAAAGCAAGGTGAGGTAAATGACTGAAACAAATTGGCCTAATGAGCATGGTTGAGAAACAGGTGTCCTTTTCCATTGCGTCTGCAGTGGTATATTTTTCCATTGTTCCTGCACTTACTCATTTGGGTTTTTTCTACCAGTTTGTTTGGTTTATTTTTAATATAGTGAACAGAATTATTGTTAGGATTTTTTGCAATAGTTGCTTATAGTTCTTTTTCCATTATGTAGGTGCCAAAATCTTCTCTTTTCTACTCCCAGCAAAAATTAGTTTTTATTGGCTAACTCAAAAGGTACAACCATAAGTTGCAAACAACACAGGAAGAAGGAAAAAACTGCATTCTTACCAGAAGATTTTATCAGCCGAGGTCAGGTTGCATGGGGATTTAATTGATTTGTGGCAGCAATACTGAAATGAGCCCTTGAGGAGCCTCTGTTCTTTTTCCCACAATGCAGAAATCTGACCATGTTCTACTGAGGGACTTTCTCCATTTCCTTTTATTATTAAAAAAGGTCAAATCCTGGCTTGATGCCCTGCCTGCTTAGTTTGCAAGACCAAAGAAAGTTAAAAAATCCATTCTGTCCACCTCTCTGTGTGTGAATCAGTGTAAAAGAAATGTGTACAGCCCTTCCTTCCCTGTTGTCCCTGCTGCTTAAATTCAAACTCTTTTCATTTTTGGGTAGTTTCTGCCAAGGATTCAGTTTCCTGTTAGTGAATAAATCCAAAGGAAAAATACCATAGGTATGACCTTTACTCTTCTCTGATACTGCATCCTTTGAAATTGTTTCCTGCAGGTAGAAGCTCAAACAGTCTACAATCATCTAATGATGCTCTTCAGCTGTACAGTCCTTTCTGTCAAAGATCTGGAGGCTGCTGTACACAGTATAATGGATATAGAGCAGTGTTGTAACCAGCATCTTATAACACATCTTCTTACCAACTTTTTGCTCTTTTCTTCTGGTGGACATATGATCGCCCAGGAATTTATTTACCATGTAAGTGTTTCTTCCTTTTTTTCAGTTTAAGTACAAAAAATTTTTTTTACTATTTTGGATTAGTCTATCCCCACTATAAGGGACGAGGTCCGAGTGACTGTGCTGTGAGCACAGACAATGCCCCAGGAGAAAGCTCCAGAAGCCAGCCATGGGGAGGGGCCAGTGTCACTCTCCTTGACTGACTAATGTCTCAACCACTCCTGAAACCGGGGTGAGAGAAGATTCTAGAAACCTTGGACTGGGCCAATAAATAAGGGCGCACACGAGCCTCCTCGGGGCGCTCTCCACACTAACACCCCCCATTGGCAGGTCCGACACTGGATCCAGAATTGGTGATCGTGCGCTCTCGCCCGCTCCGCCCCCCCCCCCCCCCCTTCTCGTTCTTTGCCCTTGATGCTGCTAAGTACCGTAAGGCCTACCTCAACTTCTCATAAAGCCGCTTAGCTTATGTGACATATTAATACACAGAGGGTTGATGTTTATAGAGTGTTCGTTCCATTAAAGTTGATGTTCGTGTATGGACCTTGAGTGTTATCTCACCTTAATCCACACCGAGGGGATCTGCGGACCTTAGTCACTCTCCCCTTCTCGTAGGTGGGACATGACACCTCTTAATAAAGAAAATACATAACAGAGAATTAAAGAAGATAATGACTACAGCACCTATACCTAACCAGCTACATATCCATTTCAGCTACAGACAAAATAGTTTCCTTCTTGACACTTCTTGACAAGATCTCACTGAAGAGGCTGCTGTCCTGACTATACAGCTGCAGAAAGAAATAGTTACAGTAGTAGCTTGCAGTTAAGGGATACCTACAGTTCATTTACACGTGGCATAATTAGCACGTGCAAATATTTTGCTTTTCCCAGTTATAAATCACTCCCTTAATTATCCAGCTGCTGCAGAGATGATGGAACTGTCTTCTCTCTGTTTTCCATTATGTAAAACAGCCAGTTACTAAGTGTTAGCATTGATGAGGCAGAAGCTTGGTGCTTTAGCAAAGCCAGAGAGGAAAATGGTGTAATAATTGAGAGAAAAAAAGAAGGAAGACCTGAGACAGTGTCACTTAGCATGTGAAAAAAGCTGAAGAGGAGTAAAATGTTGGAAGCGTGCCACAATCTCTTGCTATTGTTGATGAGAGCCTGCAGGTATGTTGGTGCAAATAGTATAATGTGTTTGTGTCTCTCAAGATAAATAGTGCTATGTCAGTATGAGATTAGGAATTTATTCCTCTCTAACTATAAAACCATACTCTTTTAAGAAGTACAAGCCTCCTGTGCAAGCAGATCTAGGGCCAGTGTGTGGTTTTAGCACTTCAAAAGTTTTTTTTCCTTTCAGCAGCAGTGTGCTCTTCCATCTGTAGAGGATATATGGCATGTATAAGGAGATCTTATGACACAGGGAACTGGAAACCTATTTTGGTGGTTATTCCTTCTGGCTGACTAAACAAACAGGCATAAGAAGGACTAAGATATTTCTAGCATTTTAGATGTAAGTTCACAAATTATCAATTTCTTCTTGGCATAAGAATGTAATGATAAAATTAAGAGGGGTTGTATGCATTTTTACAGTCTGCTGTTTTTAGTATTTCTCTTTTGAGGAGCGTGGCTGTTGAGCAGTGATGCTGTAATATACTAGTCTGCTGCTTTAAACCTCTTCAGGAAGACCAAAGGCAATTTCTTGTTTCTTTATAGAAAGCAATGTAACTAACTTTCAAAACACTGAGTATTCCCCAGTGCAGGGTGGTCATGAGCTGTTGTAGGCCAGAGTATGTTGGTCTGATTAATTTTGACTGTATCTGTGTAATCATTAATGTGTAGCTAGGATCTCCATGTGATCTGAAAAGGCCTGAAGACAATATATGAAAGGCAGAATGGTGTGGAACCAAATTGGGAGGCATGGCAGTGGTTTTAGTTAGCATAGTAAACTTTGGGATTAACACAGCAGATAACGTGGAGTAAAGTCCCTCCTGATCTGCAAAAATTGCAGCGTAGGGTCTTTTCCTGGTATTTTGTCATCTTTTGGGGAAGGGATTTATTTTTACTTTTGAAAGCTTTATAGACTTGAATTGTCTCCCCAGACCCACCCAAAACCTTCATGTGCTTTTAGTTGTTTTCTAAGATGACTTCTAGATGGTTACACTGTCTGTCCATTTGTGTTTCCTTTAAAAACTTTTTGACCTCTTGATTTGTTTCACTTAAATTTGAGAGAACAGTAGAAATGTCGAAGTTGCTCAGTTCCGCCAAGATGTGTGAAAAGAGACACCGTTGCTTTTCAAAAGAAGTTGCTTTTGAACTCAGAGCATCTCGCGTGTTCAGTGGTGAGGGACAAATCTGTGGTTTTGTTGCAAATATTAAGGGAGAATTCTTAGTACTTAGCAACATAATTGCATTATTTCCCATCTTCTCTGTTTGCTTTCAGATTACTGAGACAACTGATACAAGCAAAGAAGTTTGTAGCCTTCTTATCCGTACTGCATACAGAATTAACCGTAATGGAGAAGAAAACCAAAGGACTGTGAAGCTGCTGAATGAACTTCTTCAAAAACTAACATTGAAAGTTTAGATTTTTAATGTAATCTGTTTGTCAAGCCAACAAATCAGATCTTTATCCAGGTGTCAAGACTTTCATTAACGTCTTGCACTGCAGCTTACCAAGGGTAGAAAAATATCTACTTAAGCATATCCCACAACTTTGTATTCCCTCCTATGTATTTGAAAAGAATGCTTTATATTTGAAAAGAATCCTTTGTTTGGAAATGTTAACCTTTTAGAACATAACAGTAAATATTAAAGATGGTTGAAAATTTTGTTCTGAGCACCTTGTTTAACAAGAGACCTACGTCATTAAAAGCAGTTCACTCATCTCCTTGTTGTTTATCTGTCTGAGATCAGTTTTTCTCCAAAATTACCCATGGTTTTATTAGCAAATCATATCCAATTGCTTGGTGGGTAAGTTGTTCCTAAAACGTTTTGTTCTATAATTCTGCTTTTATGAAACTAACGATGATCTCAAGTGAGAGTTAGTGATTCATGGTGAATGCACACTATGTTCTCAGGAAATCAACAATGTTTCCTGAACTCTTAGTTCTTTTTGAAAATGTTTCCAAAATGAAACTCCTCTCAGATTTGCTAAATGATTTTTTCCAGTACTGCAGCTTTCACAGGACAGTGTTCCCTGCAAAGTACTATACCAATAGCTGGTCTCTGTCAACATATACTGCGGGTAGAAGGTTGCTTGCAGTACAGCCTATTTTCAGTGTGCCATGACTGATGCTATTGTTTATTCGTTTAAGAAATCTTTTTTTCATTCAGACAAAACAGGGCAAGCACAACATAGGCATAAGGAAACTTTCCAGTTTGAGGGCCAAATTTCCTAAAAAGAGCATATGGTTGCAACTCATCTCCTTCCTTTTTGTGTCCAGAGGTCGTTTGCTTGCTTCTTTGTTTAGGTTTTTTGTCTCATGCAAAGAGCGTGGACAGGGAGCAATGGCTTACTGCTTTACCCTTAGGAAAGTATTTGTCCCAAGAAGTTTTGTGAAACTGTTTCCAGCTTAACTAGAAAAATAAGCATGGAGAATAGTAATGGCAGAGGATCTTAACACTTTTCAGTAATTTCTTCTCATGTATTACCTAGCTTTAATGTCAACACTTGTGCTATGTTCAAAGATGGTACTTGGAATACTATCCTTGCATATAAAATCAGAGGCATGTATCTTAAATTAACACAGCTTTCTGAATGTAGCATTTGTTTTTGAGCAAGGGAAAAGAAAAACAATGTACTTCGTGTCCCTTGGCTGTAGGAAGTGGAAGGATATTTTCTGTAATGCTGTTGACTGATTTCTTACAATTTTGTTCCCAGTGAGTCATATTAGACCAAATTACAGTAATTACATGTCCTCTCAGTCTGTTAATGTTTGTAATATTTGATTCCAGCATATGAAGAAGTAGTAAATACGGAATGTATGTCTGTGAAGAAAGTTGGGGTTTTTTTTTCCTCTTTTTGGATTAAAAATATTTCTGAATGAAAAATCAGAAAGACATATGTTGCAATTTTTCAGTTGTTGGTAGCCACACGTATCTAAAAAAGCAAAATCAAGCAACCCAGTTTTCTATTCCCTGAATATCATACCTGAAAAGCATGGGATTAAACTGAATTATTTGTTGATCACAAACTCTGAGGTATTTGTCTAGTGGGAACACATGTGGAGTGCTCTACCTAGAATGATAAATAATCTAACATTTGTCTCCAAAGGAAGAATGATTTTTTTTTTTTTGGCTTTAATTTCTAATCCAGTTGTTGGATGTGAGATTCTTTGGTTGTCCTTAAATTCTCTTCATATTACAACTACATGTAATTTTAACTACTTAAAAGAAAGATTAGCAAAGAGTTGTAATATATGATTCTTGCAGATTTGTTAGGTGAATGATACATACATATATCTATGTGTATTACAGTTGTTGGAGATTAATTTGTAACAGTCCTTTCACAGTGCAGTCTTTTTTTCCCATCAACAAAGCACGTGAAAATTCTTCTAACTTTCTTAAACAAAATCAATATCCTGTAAATAGTGATAAGTCGATTCAAGCAGGAAGGAAAAGTGCAGTAAAGGCAGAAAGATAAAATTAGTAGTGAATTGGTACATTTTTGTTTGGCTTTTTAAGAAATACTGCATGATTTAAATATTAGAAGGAGGGTTTGCTCATTTCAGGAGGCTTTAAGGAAGAAACCTAGTTGATGCTAGCTGTAACTTTTGAAAGATACATCTGTACTGGCATTCTTTTTGCTTTATTTAGCATAGTTGTTTAAACCTTTGGTATTTCTTTTTCCTTGCTCTTTCACAGTGCTTGAATTATGATCTAACTTTGATATAAACCATGATTTTGTGGCATGTTGAAGCTACTTTTGTTAGTTTGCCAGTGGAAGGCAACAGTGTGATTTGGTAGATGTAATGGAATATTTTTCATATGGTGGCTCCTGCATTATCCATCTAATATGCGTCTTCTCCTCTGTAATCGCTGCTTTCTGGAAAAGTTCTTTGGAGCCTTCAGCGCTGTACTCTTATGCAGAACCAGCCAACGAGTCCTGAAATCAGGCTTCAAGTAGCTTGTTCCCTTCCCTCCAGTCTCCATGTCAGCACACACCCTAATCCTGGATATTACACTGAATACAGAGAGCTTTTAAAAATCTTTCTGCTTCAAGGAGTTGTTTTGAATAAGAATACAAACAATCAATTTGACTTGTTTGTTGATGTTGCTTCTTTCCAATCTAAGACTGCTAAGTTACAAGTTTTTGAATTCTGCAAGCTTTCCAGCATGGGGCTGGGTGGTTTCTGTGGATTTTTTCCAGAAAAAAAGCCACTTTTGTGGCTTTCATTCAACCAAGATCTTAGTACAGTACATATACAAACCAGAATACATTTTATCTTGTGAGATATGGTAGGAACAGGTATGTTACCAGGTATTGCAATTTAGCTGACCACCAGTAATATGTTAATCTGTTACTTCTGGGAGTTGTGATCAGTTTTCATACTTGCAGCATTGTAAGTGCAAAGAGGTGCTAATAGAAAGTCTGACTGAAGATGCAAGTGAGTTAATACTAGTTTTGGTAAGTTAGAGTTCATGCCATGGTGGTATGTGTTTGGCTTGGTTTTGGTTTTGGGGGGTTACAATAAAAAAAAAATTCTGAAGCTTTATACAAGTTTAGGATGAAATATCTAGCAAAAATGACTTGCAATTATTAAACCAAACACTACTAAAACAGGTTTACTCAATTTCTTTGCTGTATTATCCAATGACAGAATAAAATGCTAATGTTCTGTGTGAATGAATAATGTCGTGCTAATTACAATGCAGGTTTTCTTGTGATATAAGAAGGGTGTATGAAGGTGAGAAACTCTGACACTGAAGTGCAGCTTTCTATTAGACCCAAGTTTGAAAAGTCAAAACCTGGAATGTTATGGGAGGAGTCCTCCACCAGAGCACCAAGCATGTTTCTGAATACGTGGTTTTATACTTTCGAGATAGTCTGCAATGGCTTTGTTATGCAATCAGCATGTTTTGCTGGGCAACACCAGAAGTTAAACCAATGTAGCTGGTGAATTAGCTGGTCCTAGAGGCAGCCCTCTAGCACTTAATTCATAGCAGTTTTCACATGTGGGCCTGTTTAAGTCCTCCTACCTCTGTCAAGTTTTTCTTACTTGTGATACAATTTTTCCTTAAGTGCTCGCCTGGATTTAAAGGATATGCTCATGGTAGCCATTTCATTTGCTGCCTTAGCAGAGAGTAGCTTATTCTGGGAATTTGCTGTTAGGTGGTCTGTTCACTAGTGAATGCCAAAAAGGAGTTTCCCTTGCTTGCATTGGCCATCTTCCTTTAACCAGCTGTCTGGCTGCTGGAAAGAAATAAACCTCATGAGCCCCTTCTGCTGGCTTAAGTGTACTCATAGTGACTGGGTCCTTTTAGCAGCCAAGAGCCAGCTAGGGATAGGTATTGGATTGCCATCAGCCACTGAAACAAAAATTTGAAATGTCAGCTGGCTGTAGCAGAGTTCTAGCAATATCGTTAGTAGGCATGGATTGTGCCTTATTTTGTATTTTATATTCTTGCATGTGTGTGAAGGGAGAGAGGGTGCGAAGGAAGAAAAAACCCAGCATGTTGAAACTCAGTTGCGGAAATGAAGCTTGTGATTTTTTTAACTCAATTTAATTGTAGTACTGATAGGATTAGGAAATAACAATTCCATATAAGGCTAACTAACCTGAACATCAACAAGTAGCAGAAAAAAACCAGCAATACTATGTCTTTAATAGGTCTGTACATTTAACTAACTTTCTATCTCTTAACAAATCTTGCTACTTTAAAAGCATGTTTCATAACTCTTCTGTATTATGTCAGAGCATAGACTCATTTCATAAAAAAGCAGCCCCTCAGGAACAATGATCCTCTCTTCTCTATTATTTGAACAAAAATGTTAGGCCCATGAACTTTTGCAGATGCATATTGCCATCTTGAAAAGAACACATTTTTACACATTCTTGACCATAATGAAGAGTTCCACGCAGTTATCCACATTCTGAATTACACTGTCCTTGAGATTTCCCACACGTATATGCCAAATCAGCCTGTATATACAGTTTATTCACTCCTTGCTGTTTTGATTTTATTTCTTAGCTTATGGGTTTATTTTGAGGCTCCCAAAACAGGTGCATGCAATATGTCATTTGCATGCTACTGTTAAAAGTTCCTTTAATATTTCACGTATGAGAAAGCAGCTTTTCTTTGTTTTGACTATCGGTGCTGTAACTTCTGTGTATAAGTAAGTTGTCTAAAGATAGGACTTCCCTTTTTTTTTTTTTTTATTCCAAACTAACTTCTAATAGTAGCTGAAGATACGAATTTCCCATCTGTATTATTCCCTGTAGAGACTACCAGTGTTTATGATAGAATAGAATGGTTTGGGTTGGAAGGGACCTTAAAGATCATCTAGTTCCAACCCCTTGCCATGGGCAGGGACGTCTTCCACCAGACCAGGTTGCTCAAAGCCTCATCCAGCCTCACCTTGAGGCTGTTCCAGTGGCTCGCCACCCTCAGAGTGAAGGATTTCTTCTTTATATCTAATCTAAATCTGCCCTCTTTCAGTTTAAAGCCATTACCCCTTGTCCTGTCACTACATGCTGTCGTGGTTTAAAACCTCATTTGGCAACTAAGCACCACGCAGCCGCTTGCTCACCCCCCCCCACCCCGTGG